GCACCTAGCAAGAGGCGGCCTGTTCCCTGAGGACCATGTTGGTTATAGTACAGAGAAGATGCATCAGGAATCACAGACCATGCATTATCTTTGTAAGTATCTTCTAGAATTCCGGAACAGTTCATAGATATCTTAAGGTCACAGCTTGTTACTTCTCCTCAATGAGAAATAAGGCCAAGTGCAAAGAGCCCGGGGCCCTTGGGGGCCTCGGGATAAGATTTGGTTGGCAGGTCAGTTGGAACGTGGGAGCAGCCCTACTGATGGGTGGGACTGATTTCATCTAAGAAGCTAAACTCACTCCTGGGAGCCCAAGGTCACTGGGAGGAGTTCCTGGGAGGGGTGATTGGCCGACTTCACGTGATGTCACTAGAGAGGGTTGGAAGTGAGGCTGGCAGTCCCCATCCTCCCGCTCCCACTCAGCGGGGCTGGGTGTGGGGCTCCAGGCACGTGCCCGGATGTGCCCAGTTGTTACCTCGGCAGAGGAAGTTTTCCATCCTTGGCAGCCTCTCAGCAGCCACCCGCCCCGGCCTGCCTCCTCCCTGTCTCCTCTGTCCTGTCCTCCAGGCTCCTCAAAGAGCCGAGGAACCGCTGAGCTCAGCTCTTCCCGCAGCCCCGGCCCGCGGCTCGCAGCCTTTGTCCCCCGCGGGCGGCGGCACCGAGCGGCTGGGGGCGGGCCCGGGAGGAGGGGGCTCCCAGCCGCCCGCGCGTCCGTCGCCGCGATGGCTCGAGTCCCCGGGGCGGGGGACCGCCCCTCACATCACACCAGCCCCTGCTCAATTGTGAGCGGAGGAAGCTCTGCGCCCTCGCCGCCGGTGCCAGATCCTGCCTCTGAAAAGCCCCGGGCCCTTTCTCCTCGCGCCGCCGCTCAGCCTGCGGGTTGCCAAGTGGCAAAATAGGCAGGCTCTGTTCTGGGGGGTTCCGGGGCCTTTCGGAGCAGGGCAGGATCTGCAGAAGGGGGAAGCGGGAGGGGTGGGGCTTGGGGGTGAGATGACCCTGGGTGGGATTCAGGCGGCCCTGGGCAGAAATGTCCCAGGATCTTTGGGCCACGTACCATGATGGACAGAAAGACAAGCAGCTGACCCAAGGGCTATAGTTTGCCAATTTGAGGTTTTGGGGGTTTTTCTGTCTTTTGTTTTAATTTATCTGGATCACTGAGGGTTTGTCTGATTCCCTTGCCTGCTTAAATTCGTGCTTAAGGCACATGCTTCACCCTAGTCCTGGCTCTGTCCATAGCTCCTAGGGCCCATGGTGTGGTCAGAAGAGCCCAGAGACACTCCTGACTTCTCCCCATGCACCAAGGTTAAGTGGTTCCCATCCTTGCCACCTTGCTTTAAGGGGAACTCTCTTTTCTGGGGCAGGATGGGTCACTACCACCTAGACAGCAACCCAAAGAAATGATGTCATTCATAGTGGGACCAGGCGAAGAGGCTGCTGGGGGCTGGGGTGATGCTGTTCTTAGAAAGTTAAAACTGGGAAGATCTCTAGATAACCCAGGCGGAAGTCCAGAGTCATATGCCACAAGAGGTCAGAGGCTGGACAAGGACCAGGTTTGAATTCTCCCTGAGACAGGTGTGGTGAGGAATGCTGCCCCAGGATGGCGAGCCGTGGAAGGCATCTGTGTGGATGAACATGTAGGACTCCTGCCTCTGATGGTGGTACTGGGGAGGAAATTTCTTTAGTGATCTGGGGATTGAGAGTTTTCTGGGTAGGATGCCTTCAGAGAAGTGCAAGGGCATTTGTAGTTAGCTCGAGCCAGGATTGATGCCCTGCTTCACTGTGTACTGTGCATGCAGCTTAACCACTTTGAGTCTCTTCTTTCCTTTCTAAAAGCATCACTTAAGTAAGGTAACCTGAGGGGGCTGCCTGGCCCTGAACTAGCACAGGGAACGCATCCGGGAAGTCATCCTCCCTTGCTTCCATCCATAGCTACCCATTCAGTCCCATTCCTGAGACTGTCAGTCTCTCCCTCTCCTAGTCAGTTGCTTTTAGAATAGTGACTCATCCAGAGCCCATGTCCTCTCTCTTCCAGCTGGTACCTGTTTTTCTAGGTGACACTGCTCACCCACCTGTGCCCTAATAAAGCACCTCATGCTTAGAATGGGCCAGCATGGGGCTCTGTTGCTCTCTCTAACCACAGAGAACCCCACGTCAGAATGTGCTGGGCCAACAAAGGGTCTCAGGGTGAACCAATAATGTAGCCTACAACTTTTGAACCCTAAAACCCTGGAGTGCCCTTGTCTGCATGCTCCCTCCAGACGGCTCTCCTGCTGACTCTCTCCATCCTGGGAGGTGGGCTCCCTGGGTGGTCTAGGGGCTAGTTGTTGAAGGCGAGGCTGCCCCTCTCATTGAAGGGCTCTGACAGCGGGGCTGCTGCTCCCCCTTGCCTGCTCCCACTGTCTCTAGGGATGCTGATTCGATTTGCTCCAATCGCCAGTGTTGCCATCTGCCTGCAGTAATTAAATGGTATTTGAACTGGATCCAGAAATCCCATCGCAGGCAGCCACGTGGGGAGGGTGTCCTCAGGAGCTCATGCTTGCCCACGCAGCTCGAGGGTCCTCAGAGGCTGCTTGGACCAGAACCTTGCTTCACCTGGGAATATCCAAATATCCTGGCCCAGGACAGAGCAAGGTTTGAGGTCCTGTCTATTAGCCTGTAGCCTGTGCAGTGTCTTATCCCTCTGTCTGCGTATGAGACTTTCCCTTGGCCCTCTGAGCCCCGGTCCTTATAGACAGTGTAGTGCAGGACCATCACAGGGACATGCATGCAGACAGCCTGAGCTCAAACTGGCTCGTTACTGTCTGTGACACTGGAGGACACCATCCCGGATTCCTCATCCATAAATGGGTTGTCATGAGTTAGTATGTGTCAGTGTGCAGACGCTGCTTGGCATACAGTGAGAACTCAGTGTTTGAGCTGCCATTATTTATGTAGAGATAGGAATCTTGCTGACCCTGAGGTCTCTTGGGGTGGGGTTCTGGTCTGCAGGTCCAGAGAGGATGAGCAAGAACCGGGCACAGTGGTGCATGCCCGTAATCCCAGCTGCTTAGGAGGCCGAGGCAGGAGGATCGAAAGTTCAAGGGCAGCCTCAGCAACTTAGCAAGGCCCTAAGCAACTTAGTGAGGCCCTGTCTCAAAATAAAAAGCAAAAGGGGTGGGGATGTGGCTCCATGGTTCATTGCCTCTGGTGTCAATCCCTGATATAAAAACAAAAACAGAAGACTCAGAAACCAATTCAGGTGGGAGGCTGAGAAGCAAGTTTCTCACTTTACCTTGGCCCAGGAAAACTGGATAGGATAGCAACTTCCTTGGGCTTCCATTCCTTTCTGGGGAGAGCCACCCATCGTGAGGACCTGTTCATACCTCAGAGAAAACACTTCTAAAGAAAACCCAGACACCGCATGTGGAAACAACAGGGGAAAATAATTGCCCCCTCCCCAGGAATTTTCCCACCTCCCCAGTCCACTCCCTTAAAGCCAAGTGCAGGTAACATTTTCAGGTGAGCACCTCACTGGCCTACAGTTCAGTGAGGTGTTCACCTGAAACTGTTCAGTGCCAGGGGGGCTGGGCTCAGGACAGGGACAGGAGGATAGCTTGGAGGCCCTGGGCTCTGTGGCTGGGCGCCTCTGGGCCCTGGGTGGGTGCTGGCCTGGTCCCACTCATTCTTTTCTTCTCTTGGTAAATGTTGGCTTGGGGAGAGGGAGCCTCACAAGCAGCTCATTGTGAGTGCCTGGCCAACAGGGCTGGCTTGTGTGAGCCCATGGGCACTAGAGCCTAAACCCCCCTTTACTTTAGGGTGTTGGGGGATGCTTTCAGCCAGCCTCTTCACACGCATGCTCACTGACTCATGCATGGTTGCCATGGGGATCTCGTCATGGTGATGGCTACTTGGAAAAGGGAAGAAGGGGTAACTGATGGAGACAGTTCTGCCCATGACTGGCTCCCCACTCAGTCCTGATGCCACTTACTGTCCTCTGTATGAGGGGGCCTCCTAGTGTCTGAGAGATAGGCCTACCCTGTGGCTGGCCTGCTGTCCTTTCTAGAGGTTTCTGCCCTTTGCAGGAAATGTTTAACTTGGTCTGAGATGCCACATTCTGCTTAGTCTGGCCCTTCAGCTCCTGCAGGGAGCCAGACCTGGTGACTGTCCACCAGGCTCTGGCATCTGGGAGGGGGGCTGTTGGTTTGGAGGACCCCTGCAGCCCCCACAGGCTTTGGCAAAGGCTCTGGCCTCCTTCAGAACTTGGCCCTGACCTGGGGGAATGTGACCCAGAACCAGGCTTGTCCCTCTGTTCCCTGTCCTGGCCCTGAGCTTTGCTTCCACAGAAGCAGAGTATTCTTGCTCAGAAGGGGTTGATCTCCAAGGTCCCCAGTCCAGCCAGGACTGTGTGCTTTTTACTTTTCTTTTTTTTCTCCCCCTCCCCCTCCTTTTTTGGTGGGGAGGGATAGAATTAGGGATTGATCCCAGGGGTGCTTTACCACTGAACTACATCCCTACTCCTTTTTATTTTGAGATGGGGTCCTACTGAATTGCTGAGGATCTTGCTAATGTTGATGAAGCTGGCCTCAAACTCACAATCCTCCTGCCTCGGCCTCCTGTGTCACTGGAATTATAGGAATGCACCACATCTGTGGTTCATGCCACACAGATCTGGCGCTGGCCCCATCACTTGCCGTTATGTAACCTTGGACAAGTCATCTGAACTTTCTTACCCTCAATTTTCTCATCTGTAAAATCAGGCAAATAATAGATACCTCACAGGTTTATAGTGAAGAACACATGGATTAATTTATATAAAATATGTTAAAGATAGATTTAGTATACACTGAGTGCTCAATAAATGTTAGCAACAATTGTCTGGGGGTATGATTCTTTTATTACTGTGTTACCAAAGCTGTCCTCGGTTAGCTCCTCCCCTCCCTTCCTCTCTGCCCAGCGCCGATGGGAAGCCTGGCAGGTAATGTGAGGGAGGAGGGCCTGAGCCAGGGCTTTTCTATCCTGGGCAGGATCCGGCCCCAGCTGTCAAAGGAGAAGATTGAGGGCTGTCACATCTGTACGTCTGTAACCCCGGGGGAACCCCAGGTCCTACTGGGGAAGGACAAGGCCTTCACCTATGACTTTGTTTTTGACTTGGACACTTGGCAAGAACAGATCTATTCGACCTGTGTGAACAAGCTTATCGAGGGCTGCTTTGAGGGCTACAATGCCACAGTGCTGGCCTATGGGCAGGTAAGCCACCTCCATCCCAATAGTGGCCACCCGACTTTGGTGTCCCCTCATCTGAGCCCCACCTTTAGAGCAGTTGAGACAACTGCATGGTTTTGTCTATTGTCTGAGGATTTGGCTGAGCAGGAGGGCTGGGAACAGTGAGGGACTTCCACGCTGGTGCCTCCAGAGGGTGCTGGGTAACACTCTCCTTGTCTTTGCCAATGCAGACGGGGGCCGGGAAGACGTACACTATGGGCACTGGCTTCGACACGGTGACGTCAGAGGAGGAGCAGGGCATCATCCCAAGGGCCATAGCTCACCTCTTCGGGGGCATCGCTGAACGCAAGCGACGGGCTCAGGAGAAGGGTGTGGCTGGGCCTGAATTCAAAGTCAGCGCTCAGTTCCTGGAGGTACTGTGTTCTCGCAGGGTAGGCAGGAGGGACAGGCAGGAGGGAGACCTGGTAGACCACAAAACCGCCCAAGCTGGGTCCTCCTCCAGTGCAGTCGAGTAGCCTAGGGAGTCACAGGGGCATCTACAGCTGATGAGTTCCTTGTTGCTGGAAGTCCCCAGGCAAGGACAGGAGGATCAGTGGGACGCTTTGAAGGGTTTCCTCCATCATTTGGTAAGGAGTCAGTGACCTATGAGATCTCCTCAAACCCTGTCTGATTCTAGCTCTGACACTTTTTAGCCATGTGACCTTGTGCATGTCATTTCATGCTCTGAACTTCATCTGCAAAATGGGGGTGATGTCTACTTCCCTAGGGTTGGCGAGGATGACGTGGAAGCATGTTACTTATGCATGGTAACAACTTTGGTTCCTGCCTTTCCTCTGGCCTTCACTGGGTCCCTCCTTCGCCTTCAAGTGGCCTGCCTGTCCCTTTCTGGCTGAGATGCTTCCTGGCTCTGAGTCTTCTTGGGTCTCCTAGCAAAATGGTCCCTAGAAGAGAATTCCTTGGCCTCCAGCCCTGCCTGTGAATGGGAGGATGTCAGCCTGAAACTGTGGTATCCAGGAACTTTCTGGGGCGAAGGATGAGATCTCTAGGCTCCTTGACACTTGGGCTGTGCTAAACCCCAGATCAGTAACCCAGGTGTAGGTACTCCCTACTGTGAACGGGCCCTCCCAAAGGGTTTCTAGGAAGGCAGAAATGATTTCCACCAAGAGCCTGACCAGGTTTCTCCGGGACATGTGGTTGGGCCTCTCAGATCCTCAGCATTTAAATACTCAAGCCAAGGAGCCCAACCTTGTGGTGTTTGCTGGTTTTAGAGGTACCCTGGGCTCTCACCCCAAAACCCTGGTGTTGCGATTGTACTCTGGTTGTCCTTTGAGGGAAATATGTGACCTCAGCCCTACCCACACTTTCCCATGCTCCAGCTCCTACCCATCAGAACAGTTACTCCCTCCTGGGTACACATGGCTACTGCTTTCCTGATTTCTTAGGGGGACCCTATATTTTAGGCTTGGGAATTTTTATTTGTTTTTCTAGACCTTTGTTTCTGATGAACTGCCTGCCTCTGTGTGTGTGCACATGTGTGTGTGTGTGCACACGCACGCATGTGTGTCCTGCTGCTTGGGTATCGCTATTAGCTTTTCTCTCACATCTCTTTGTTTCCTTCCTTTCTTCATCCCGTTGCCATGGGGATCCACAAAAGGAGGCTATTTTCTATAAGATCCATGCCAAGGGGTGAACCACAAGGGGTTAAATGATGCAGTGTGTCTGTCCCAATACAGACAGACACTAGAGTGCCCCCTCTTTACCATCTCTCCTTCTGTTTCCTCTTCCCCTTCCTGTGAGATATTTCTGTCCCTTTAAGGCCCTCAGTGCCTCAGATGTCTGAGGTCTGCAGTCCCCCTCCCCCTTGCCCCACTGGATTCTCCCCCATCCCTTTCCCGCTCCCAGTCCCAGCTCCCTGCCTGTTGACCACCCCAGCCTGTCAGTGGAAGTTTCCTTGCTCCTGATTCCAATCACAGGAATCTCCTGGGCTACCATCTGAAATGGGTGGCCACCTCCCCACATTAGGCTCCCCAGAAGGCTGGGCCCCAGTCACCCTTTCTCCATGATCTGTTTCCCTCCTGAGCATAGGGCAAGGCACATAGCCGCCACCTTCCTCCCTCCCCTGGGAGGTTGTCATTATGTCAACCGCCAGGAACCATGGGGATCAGGGAATGGCCCCTGGAGGTCTCTGAGCTCTGCCTCCTCCTTCCCTCATCTGGAATCATCCCATCCCCTCTTTTCCAGTCCAGTATTGCAATAAGATCTGCCCAAGTCACGTCAAGTTTTCCTTGTCTGCTCTCTAGGATCCACATCCCTTTGTCCCTTTAGGTCCTTAGCTACCTACTGGGACTGAGAGCTGCTGGATACTGGTTCCTCAAAGTTGAGGAACCGTGTACAACCTCAGGGTAGGTCTGCCCAGGGCCCAGCTGCCCTCCTTTCCCTGTCCAGGAGAAAGATCCTAGAATTCAGAACCCAAAAGGGACCAGGGTTAGATAAGTTAACTTCCAGAGCCTCAGTTTCCACTTCTGCAAAATAAAGGTGGTTTAGAAACAGGAGAAGCCCCCTGGGGGCCCTGCGCTGTGTGCCATATGAACCCAGCCCTGTTCCCTCCTGGCACAGCTCTACAATGAGGAGATCCTTGACCTGTTTGATAGCACTCGTGACCCTGACGCTCGCCACCGCAGGTCCAACATCAAGATCCACGAGGATGCCAATGGTGGCATCTATACCACAGGCGTCACGTCTCGCCTCATCAACTCCCAGGAGGAGGTGAGCATCCACGGGAGGTACAGGGCAGGCACAGGACATCCTGAAAGGCCAGAGGCTGGCAGCACAGCCTCTTGAGGCCTCACCTCTGCATCTGTCCCCAGCTGATCCAGTGCCTGAAGCAGGGCGCCTTGTCCCGTACCACGGCCAGCACCCAGATGAATGTACAGAGCTCGCGCTCCCATGCCATCTTCACCATCCACCTGTGCCAGATGCGTGTGTGTGCCCAGCCCGACCTGGTGAGGAGCCCTCTGGGGCCCAGGAGCTTCTTGCTATGGGGGTGTTGAGGGAGGACAACACGAGTAGCCCTGGACCCAAGCTAGCAAACCAGAGTTGGGGCTTGCCCTGCCACTTGTCGATTTTTCTTTTTTTTTCTTGAGCTTCAGCGACCCCTTCTATGCAGTGGGGTAATGAGACCTATATCGAGTTGTGAGCAATGAATGAGAATCAGGCGTGTGAACGTCCTGTGTTTGCTGTCTCAGGGTGGGCGAGGGCTGGCAAGTCAGAGGCTCTCTTCTGCTACAGGTGAACGAGGCGGTGACAGGGCTTCCTGAGGGCACAGCTCCTACGAACGAATACGAGACACTCACAGCCAAATTTCACTTTGTGGACCTGGCTGGCTCCGAGAGGCTGAAGCGGACAGGGGCCACGGGTGAGCGGGCCAAGGAGGGCATCTCCATCAACTGTGGCCTGGTAGGTACATGGAGGTCCCCAGCCCCGGCAGCTAGCTCAGCTCTGGCTCAGACCCTCCTAAGGCTCTGTGACTCCAAGGCTGCACAGACTTCCTGGGGCTTCTCGCCAGCTGTTGGGCAGGGCACAACTAGCTACTATTTCTAGGTCTTGGGGCTCCCGGGGCTCTGCCCACTCTCAGGCCTCACCCCTGCCCCAACGCCCAGATTTCACCAATCTAGCACATCTGCCTATAAACCCATCCAGGGGTCAGAGGGCTGTTAGGGCCAGCAAGGCTGGTACAGATGGCTTGGGACTGTGTTGTGCCTGCCCCTCCCTCCCTGAGTGACTCCTGAGCACAGGGTCTGTCTCCTGCAGCTGGCCTTGGGCAATGTGATCAGCGCCCTGGGGGACCAGAGCAAGAAGGTGGTGCACGTGCCCTACAGGGACTCCAAGCTCACTCGGCTCCTCCAGGACTCTCTGGGGGGCAACAGGTATCTGATGACCAACATCCCTGAGAAGGGGTTGGGGAGGCAAGGAAGTTTTTGGAGAACACCCAGGTGAAGGTTGGATGCATGATGGCCCTGTGGAGGAAGAGGCCTTCCCATCCAAGGCTGAAGATTAGGCAGGGACCTCGAAGTGCTCCATGACCCATCTCTGCACAACAGAGAGAGATATTCCTCAGGGAAGTCATTCAGCCCAAAAGAAAGAACAGACAGAAAATGCTAGAAAAATGCAGGGGCTATGGCACATCCTTATCACTAATCAGAGGGCTCTGGCAATTAGGCACCACCACCTTTCCCACCTGGCTAGCTCCCTTCACTGGGTTACCCTCCGGCAGGGGAAACTCTCGGCCAGGTGGTCCAGAGACCCGCATCCCAGCTCCTGCCCTTCCAAATGCCCAGGTCCTTCAGGCATTAAAGTAGTGGGGCGTCAGGTGGGGGCAGAGCTTCCGCACCCCTCACTCTCACCCTGGCCTGACTGCACCCTCAGCCAGACCATCATGATTGCCTGCGTGAGCCCCTCAGATCGGGACTTCATGGAGACACTCAACACACTCAAATACGCCAACCGGGCCCGCAACATCAAGAACAAGGTGGTGGTGAACCAGGACAAGACGAGCCAGCAGATCAGCGCACTGCGGGCTGAGATCGCTCGCCTGCAGATGGAGTTGATGGAGTATAAGGCGGTGAGCAGGCTCTCCCGGGCTCTGCCCAGCACTCCTGCTGAACCCAGTGCCCAGCTCTGCACCTGCCCTGTGATTCCTCAGCATGCTTGCCACCTCCCCGTCACCTGCCCATCCACTCCTTGTGCCTCCTGAGCATTGCTGTGTGCCAGGCCTGGGGCTCAGTGTTAGGAACTTACCCAGGTGATTTCAGCAGCCCGAGCCCTCTAGGCTTTAGAATGCAAAGTCCTTGCATAGATATCCTGCCCAGGGAAGACACTGTCCAGGGTGTTTTTATGTGCACTGAACATGCTGTGTTGGAACAGATGAGAATGCTGTGCTTCGATAGATAAGTTGACCATGGAGACCACAGTCACCCACTGTGCTGCAGGGGGACAGGAGAGAAAGTTGGTCTTGCTTGCTGGGTAGTCAGGGAAGTCCCCATAGAGGAGGGCTTTGATATAGATATTGGAGGACAAAGAGGAAGCAGGTAGGCATTCTAGGTAGGGAGCAAAAGTAAAGAAAATGGTGCTTTGAAGGAAGTGTGTAATTCCATATAACTACAATAACTGTGCTTGAAGTCACCAACTGGTGGCCCATGGCCTGAATCTGGCATATGAATGGATTTTGGTTTGACTTGCACATGTTTTAAAAGACTGCTTAGTCATCAACCTTTCTGAAAATCAGGGAGTTTTAGCTTTTCTGGAAAAATTTCAAGTTCTAACTACATATGGCTCAAAGTTCGCTGGAATGCATGGTGGCTGCCTCTTTTAGATCAAGTCTCTGAGTTTTAGCTCCAGTCTCCACAACTCCCTGTTACCTTACACCCAAATTGAGTCCCTCAGTTATGACAACTGCCTGGCCCCAGTAGGGTTTTGTCCCTTGGAGTAGCATTTGTGGAGGTAGAAACATGAGTGGCAGAAAGGTAGGTCAAGCTAAGACAGTGGGAGGCCTTGAATGGCTGGTTCTAGAATTTGGATATTTGGGGGTTTTGAGCATTGGGAGACAGGAGCTGTATTTTAGGAAACCAGGGGTAGGGGACCCTGCAGTTTTGCCATGTCCTACAAAAGGCCAGGTGACCTGGCGGAGAGAAGAGCATTGTTACCACTTCCCTGTGAGATTTGGTACCTGACTGCTCCCTGCCTGCGCCCTTTCCCAGGGCAAGCGGGTGATTGGGGAGGATGGAGCCGAGGGCTACAGTGACCTGTTCCGGGAGAATGCCATGCTGCAGAAGGAGAACGGGGCACTGCGGCTGCGGGTGAAGGCCATGCAGGAAGCCATCGATGCCATCAACAGCCGTGTCACCCATCTCATGAGCCAGGAGGCCAACCTGCTTCTGGCCAAGGCTGGTAAGTCAGGGTGCACCAGGGCCAGTTGGAGCACCAATATGCTCAACCCTCCTTTCCCTACTCCCACCCCAGAATGTTAGGCAGAGCAGGCCAGCCAGCCAGTGCACAGGTCGATCCATTCACATACTTTTTAACCAATTTTAAAACAATTCTGTACAATAAAGTAGTACATGTACACATCCTTCTTAAACAGGCAAGTGTTGCATCAGTATATGAAGCTAGAGGTTAAAGTGCCCTCACCAACCCCTCTGAGATTCCACCATGTCCTTTCTGCTTCTCTGAAGGGAACCTTCTGGAGCAACTTAGTACATATTTTCCCACACCTTTCTCAGTACATCTGTTTCAAGTATAAGTATGTTTAAATATATTCTTGTGTATATGAATATATACTTCTATATTGGAGATCATTTATATTATTCTTATGACTTCCCCTTTTCATTTAGCATTTTGTTTTATAAATCTCTATATTAAAACCAGCCTAATTTTTTTTTAAACTACTACGTGGTTTTCTGTAGGTGATGATGAATTGTTGATAACAAACAGCCCTCTTCTGACGGGCATTTAGCTGGTTTCCACTTTCTGCCTCTTACAACAGTGCTTCCTATCTGTGCATGTGTACAGATATTTCCTGGCTAGAGATTCCTTTATGGAGAAGGTCCATGTGCACTCCCTATTGGAAGCACAGATACAAGGTCACTGGTCTTAGAGGGGAAGGTCCTTGCTGACACTCATCTTCTTTATTGCATGCTCCTTCTGCCTTCCGCCCTCCAGGTGATGGCAACGAGGCCATCGGTGCTCTGATCCAGAACTATATCCGGGAAATTGAGGAGCTGCGGTGAGTGAGCCCCTGAAGGTGTGAGCAGGCAGGAGGTCTTGGCCAGACCAAGATCGGGGTGATGATGACATCTCACCTGGCCCCACCCCCTTGCTCTTTCCATGCAGGACAAAGCTCCTGGAGAGTGAGGCCATGAATGAGTCCCTCCGCCGCAGCCTGTCAAGGGCATCGGCTCGGAGCCCCTATTCCCTGGGAGCATCCCCAGCCGGTCCGGCCTTTGGGGCCAGCCCAGCCAGCTCCATGGAGGATGCTTCTGAGGTGATCCGCAGGGCCAAGCAGGACCTGGAGCGACTGAAGAAGAAGGAGGTCAGGCAGCGGAGGAAGAGGTAAGCAAAGGGCTGCCTCCTCCCTGAGAGCCCCGAGGTGGGAAATTGCAAATGGACCCTTCCAGAAGAACATGGACCCACCTGTGTTCAGGAGGGACCACCATTGCCCCACTACACCCCATCCCCAGGAGCTCCCCCATTATTGTGTAGGAAATCATGGAGCAAATTTGCTCTGCCCTTTGGGTAGAGACCCTGCCACCACCACCTCCAATGCTGTACTTCCCCCCCAACCCACAAGGCTAATTCTGGGCAGGACAAAAAAGAGCAACTGGGTTTTTAGGAGAGCAGGAAGTCAGCCCTACCCCTGTGCTTCCTGGCTGGAAGCTTTCCTTATCCCACCCTCCACCCTCCTCGCCTGTATGCTCAAGCCAGGGTTAGTCCCCCTAATCTGGGCTCCCCTTCACTCCACAAGCAGTCCAGAGAAGGAAGCCTTCAAAAAGAGGGCAAAACTCCAACAGGAAAACAGTGAGGAGACAGACGAGAATGAGGCTGAGGAGGTGAGGACCCCCACCCCCACCCCTCCTGGTCACATGTTTACTCCTGTGTCCCTGCTGGGGTTGGGGGTCCCCATCAGCACCTTCCTATAGGGTGGAGTGGGGTGAGTGCCTTCATCGATCCTTGCACTTCCTATTAGCTCTGGCTGGTTGCCATGGTGACCTGCATCACTCAGGCCTCCTCCTCATCCCAGAGGAGGCTGGATGGAGGCTCCTCCAGAGAGGCTGTGCCCAGGCTACTGGGGGAGGGGGTAGTCTTCCCGAGGGAGGGTGTGGCCGACCCCAGCCCTCCTGACACAGCTGAGGTATTGGATCTGGCCTGGCCTCTGCTTCTGGGCTCCCCTCCTGGAGGCCAGGCACAGAAACCTAATTGTGCCTGGTGCCCAGGAGGAGGAAGATCGAGACGAGAGTGGCTGTGAGGAGGAGGAAGGGCGTGAGGATGAAGACGAGGACTCGGGCAGCGAGGAGAGCCTGGTGGACTCAGACTCAGACCCCGAGGAGAAGGGTGCGGGGGCCCGGGCTGGGGGACACGAGACACCCGTGGCCAGTGCCCAGGGTCGGGCTTCCTGTCAGCAATGGGCCCAGAGAATGTTCAGATGCCCCTGGGGTGGGATCGGCCTGCTTGAGTTCTCTGAGATAGTTGTTATCCAAGGCTCAAAACTCCCAGCTGTGAATTCAAGAACAAGAATCGTAATGATAATGATGCAAATACTGAGCGCTTATCATGTGCCAGCCACTGTGATTAGCTCAGCATTTCACGTGCTGGCTTCTTCCAGTCCTCACTGCTACCCCATGCGTAGGTGCTATTTTCCCTGCATCACCACGGAGCATGCTCAGAGAGGTCCATACTCTCCCCAGTTTGGTCCAGGCAGAGCAGTGCATTGAATGTAAGCCTGGCTAGTGTCAAAGCCCATTCCTCTAAGTGGGGACACCTGCCCCTTTAGCTCTGTCTTGCTGCCATTTCTGGCCCATGGCTCTGCAAGGTGCATTCAATCATTTTACCCTCCTCTACCCAAGCAGGGTCCCATGTATCTGTGACAGGTGGATGTTGGCCTCTGGAGCCGACAGCAGTGGGAAGGATGTCTAGACCCGCTCCCAGATTTTGAGGCCAGGCGTGCCTTTGGGGGCTGCTCTTTAAATGTGTTACCATATTTGGCAGCACTGTGCCCACCTTGGATTTACCATTTCACCTTCCTCTGGTCATGGCTGACACGAGGAAATACCCCCTCCCTAGACTGGTGAGTGCTCCCCACCTGGCCCTTACCCTGTTGCCAGTCTGAGCCTGGCTCTGCACCGACCCTGCAGAGGTGAACTTCCAGGCGGACCTGGCCGACCTGACATGTGAGATCGAGATCAAGCAGAAGCTGATTGATGAGCTGGAGAACAGCCAGCGGCGCCTGCAGACGCTCAAGCACCAGTACGAGGAGAAGCTGATCCTGCTGCAGAACAAGATCCGAGACACCCAGCTAGAGCGGGACCGTGTGCTACAGAACCTCAGTGAGGCCGGAACTCCCCACCTCGCCAACCCCTGCTTTCCCCTGAGCCCCTCCCCTGTCAAGAGCACACCCCATAGCAGCTGGCTTCTTTGGGCCACAGTTGAAAGTTTTATGTCACACCCAGGTCCTCTGCCATGTTTTAAATTCACCTTTTTAAGACTAACATCTCACATATTAGGATCTTTTAATCCTTTTTATTTCTTCATGTACCTAGGCAGGTGAACAGGACACTTCCTGGCCTTTTCTCCGGCATTTAGTTCCTGGCACCTGTCTATAAGCCACCTTCTGACTTCTGTCTCCTTACACTCTTCTTCTCCCAGTTCAGTTTATTATTCATGTATTCATTCCTTTGTCTTATTCAGCAAGTCTTTGCTGGATGTGTCTTATGGAGCAGACATTATCCTAGATTCTAGAGATGTTGACGTGAGCAAAACCCCTGCTCTTATGGAATGCACACTCTAGCTGAGAGAGATAGACGTGAACAAAATAAGTGTGATCTCTAGAATGGCAGATGGTCATCAGGGCTATTTTAAAACATATAGCAAGGAAGGAAGATGGGGGACACTTGGAACTAGGTTGGTCATGGGAGACTACCTGGGAAGGTGACTGAGCAGAGGCAGGAAGGAGATGAGGTAGTGCTACAGCAGAATGAGGGATGCTAAGAGCCTTGCAACAGAGCCAAAGTCCTGAGCAGGTCATGCCCGTCATGGGAAGGAAGTTGCCTTCTTCTCTGCAGATGAGGCAGTGTTGAGTTTTGAGAGAAGCACATGATGTGAAATTTAAAAGTATTTTTAAAACATCACTGTGGCTGTTGTGTAGGAGAACAAAAATGGTGGCAGGAGACCATTTAGAAAATTGTTATAAAGATCCAGAAAAGTCAGACAGGAGGTGGTGAGACATGGGCAGATTCTGGATATGTTTTGAAGGTCGAGCCAAAGGCTTTGTCAGTGCTTGGAGTTGGGGACATGAGGGATAGGGGAACCAAGGATGCCTCTGAGCTGGAGTGAGAGGTGGAAACTGGAACTTGGTTTTGTACCTGTTTAGTTTGAGATGTCTGTTGGTAGTTCAGGAGGGAGCACCTAGGGAAGGGAACCAATTTAGTCCTTCTGCTGTAGCTCATGTCACTAACTTCTCTTGCTGATTCTTCCCCTTCCCCTTAGTCCCATCTCCTTTACTCTCACAGTTATCATGGGTCAGAAGCAAGCACACATGAGTGGACTGCAGCACCCTCATGGGAAGCTAGGGATCAGGGCCTCAGGTCTCAAGATGAGATCTCACATTCCAACAGAATGTCAGAGCAGGAAGGGGCCTTGGGCATCCGTAGCCCCATTCCCTTGTTTCGAGACCTCGTGCCCGACGTCTCTCAGTGAGACTAGAACCCAAGCATCCTGCCTCCCCTGTTAATGAGCCCACCTTCAGAGGGAACACACAGAGCTGAGGGCTGCCTCTTGCTGCTCTCAGGCACCATGGAGTGCTACACAGAGGAGAAGGCCAACAAGATCAAGGCGGATTATGAGAAGAGACTGCGGGAGATGAACCGAGACCTGCAGAAACTGCAGGCCGCGCAGAAGGAGCACGCCCGGCTGCTCAAGAACCAATCGCGCTATGAGAGGGAGCTGAAGAAGCTTCAGGCTGAGGTGGCCGAGATGAAGAAGGCCAAGGTAGGGCCAAGGGTATTAGGAATAGGCCTAGATGGGACGGTGCCACACCTTCAAATCTACTTTCCATGTTAAAAATAATCGTTGCTGTCAAGTGCGGATTTTTTCCCCCCAACACTTATCACTACCTGGTTTAACCCAGTCCTGGCCACGCACATTGTCCTCTTAGCTAATTGCTTCGTTCAGGATGCAGCAACCTGGATGGCGCAGTGCTTGGGGGGGACACACCCAGGCGCCCTGCTCAGTGCTGCCCCCTTTCAGTGGGTAGCAGCACTGCAGTTATTCCTGCCTGCACAGGGCACGTACAAGACTCTTATTTGGTGTAACCTTTGCCTTGAATCCCAGTGATAATTATGTTGCTGGCAGGCTTTCTGGGGCCAGGCCCTTCGCTAGTCATACATGCATGCCCTGTGTGGCCCTTAGGAGAACCTTATGAAGTGACCCTATTATTACTCCCACTCTATGGGGAATTGAGGCTCAGAGAAAGCCATTCCAGCTACAAGGAGTCGGTGCTGGGATGCTGGGAGTCCTCAGCCTCACTAGCTGGTGTGTGTTCAGGTGGCACAATACCTCCTCCCACTTTGCTATGGCTCAGAGTCTCTGGGGCCTGGGGTCTTTCCCTGAGGTCTTGGTTTGGGGCTCAAGTCTTATTCCTCCAAGTCTGTCTGGCTCCTGCCTGGAGATCAAAGATCCATGGTCCCTTTATGTCCCCCCCTCTGAACCTTCCTGCCCTGACCCTCAGGCTCTGGTGTCCCCTCGCTCTCCACAGCCCTAGGCTGGATCCCTAGTAAATCCTGGCACTACTGATGGCAACCCCAACAGCTGGCCTGGGGAGCAGATACACAGGAAAGGGGTGTTCTCCAGTGCGAGGGACCAATAGGACAGGTGTCTACATTTCTAGGAGCCACCAGTAACTGTCCTCACCACTGACTCATTAGTGCTGACCACTGTGCAGAGGCAAGCGGCCATGAATGCAGGGATAGCTGGAATAGATTCTTAGAAAAGGTTGTTGTCATAGATCAGCCACCTTCCCTGCGCAGGCTTTGTCCCCAAGCCTAGGCCACAGGTCCAGGAGCTCCATCAGCCTGACCAGACCAGATTAGAGAAGGCCCTGCCTTGCTGTGCTTAGACCTTTTTGACCTGGGCTGGTCCCCAGGGACCCTACTCTCCTCTTCTACTTCTGTGCATCCACCCTGTGGACAAGATGCAAATGACATTGAAGTGCCCACAGATTCCCCCAGGCCTGGGCGCCCTCTGGTGGTGCAGAGGGAGGGCCTGGTAGGTCTTTGACATCCCCAGGTGGAGTGGCACCCCACCCACCCCCGTGGCCTGGCCTTCAGTAGCAACTCCAGAGCAGTTCTGGGTGCTTTTCTCTTCATCCCCATTCTGTGTCCCTGGGGGTTCCTGGCCCATCCCCCTTCAGGTCCAGCCTCTCCCGGCCAGCTCCCATTTCAGCTGGGCCTGATTCTCGAGTCTCATGAGGAGGGAACATTCTCTTAGGGCTCTGAAGTCTGGAAAAATAATTGATGCCCAGGGCATGTTTGAAAGATAGAAGGATCCTCATACATATATGTGTGTTTCAGTCTCGGAATTGCTGAGGCCCAGCTCTGCCCACCTGCCTGTGCTTCTATGAGCCCAGGGATAGAAGTGGACAAGATTGGCCTAGAATCATCCCAGGGGCACCCCTACAGCCCAGGGGCCCAGGTTTTCTGTTGGAAGGACAGAAAAAGCAGCAGCAAGGATTCTGACCAGATGCCATGAGAGCCAGTGGCTTAGACCCTTCCCACCACCCTGCAGCTGCAGGGTCCCCTAGGAGAGGACACACTGCCATGTACGTTAGGACTTAAGAGCAAGGCTCTCCCAGGAACTGAGGCCCCTTGTGGCGCTGTTGTGTACCTGGAATGCGCTCACCCATTCTGAGACCATCACTTTGGTGTGGCCACCGCGGGGCTCCACCACGCATGCGATGTGGTGGATGGACCTTCGTCCAGGAAGACATGTTTCCTCCCCAGGAGCCTCAGCTAGCAGTGTGCTAGAGTTTTCAGAACCATTGTTAGCTGAGGCTTTGACTTGGTCTTCCCAATCTCAGTCCTTTGGAAGAACACTCATTCTAGACCCCAAAGACCCCGTAATTACAAGCCCACCTCTGCTCCATAGACACCCCTTCAGAGCCTTCCCTGCCAGGGAGAAGCCAACCCTGATAGTGCTGGCTGCCTTGGAATCTTTCTCCTTCCTTTCTATCCCTTTTCCTGTCCTACCTGTCCTCAGGCAGGACAGGTTGGTGACTTTCCTGTGATGTCTGAGGCCTCTGTGGCAGAGCCAGGACCAACCACCATGGTGATTCTCCTGCCACCACTACCTAGAAGCTGTGGGAAGTACTGTGCTCATTGCATTCCTGTGTTAGGGCCCCAGGAAGGGGAGGCAGATGATGCACTCTGAGGCAGATGACGAGGCCTCAGGACAGTGGCCTCCCAACACATTGGGTCATCTCCAGCCATACTAATGGTGCTTCTGTGCCTTTGGCTAGACGTTGGAGAACTCTGGGTTCCAGGCACTCTATACCAGTCCCTATCCTTGTTCTGAACTGTTGTGGTGCCCTGCCTGGGGCTGTAGGAAGACCATCTGGATTTGTCACTCATCTCCCAGATGCTCATTTCCTTATTTATTGAACAGGAATGGTAATGCTGGTTCTTAGTAAATTATGGTGAATTTTATTGCTGTCATTATGAGCCTGACCCTGGGATCCAGCCCCGACCTTCACAGCTCAGGCTGTCAGATGGAGAGAGGATTACCTGCCTCCAGCAACCTCGGCTGACCTAGAATGGTCAGACCCAGGATGGTAGCTTTGGGCAGGGGACAAGTTGCACCTTGCAGATTGGGAGTCCCTGCACTGCGAGGCTGGCTGTAAGGCCACTCCTTCTAGCAGGTTGCCCGGATCGTACCAACCTCCATGGAGGGTTTAGGGGGCGGACCCCTCGCCCCAGACCCTTGAACACTGAGCTGGTGCTGTGTGACAGGCTGTCACCTCTATTCAACATCCTCGGAGCCAGCCACTCCTTGCAGCACGTGGGCCACCCCTTTCCAAGCCCCACCTTCACCACTGCCTCTGCCCTGCCTGAACCAGGTGGCCCTGATGAAGCAGATGCGGGAGGAGCAGCAGCGCCGCCGGCTGGTGGAGACCAAGAGGAACCGGGAGATCGCTCAGCTCAAGAAGGAGCAGCGACGGCAGGAGGTGAGAGACCCTGGAAGACTCCAGGAGACTTCGGCCTCAACTCCCAGCTTCCCTGTGCACCTGGCCACCCCTCCCGGTCAAGCAGGCTCCAATTCCTGCTGCCCTAAGCCGAAACCGTCATGCTTGAAGTAGAACACAGCCTGTCAGAAGGGCGGGACCACCATGGGCCTCTAGCCTGGCCCCACATATTCCAAGGGAAGGCTTGAGCCCCAGAGAGGGTCAGGAACTTGCTCAGGGTCACCAGCAAACCAGAAACATGCAGCTTCAGACCCAACAGAGAAGTCCAGCAAGGCTGAGCTCCCTAACCCCAGATGCCTCCCCCAGAGTGGGAGATGAGGCCAAGGGGTCTTTAGTTCAACCTCCAGCAAAGGGAACTCTACTCTGGGGACCATTTTATCAACATTTTTGCTGCATGAGATTCACCCAACGTGAGAAAAGTCCAGGCTTCTGGCTGCAGATCTGGCCAGCTCATCCCCAGCCCAGTCTGGGCAGAAAGGGTCTCTGTGTCTGAGTGTGGACCCTGCCCCTCCTCTCTGACCCACAGTTTCAAATCCGGGCCTTGGAATCCCAGAAGCGGCAGCAGGAAATGGTCCTGAGGAGGAAAACCCAGGAGGTAGGTGCTCTTGGACTGTCCCAGCACAAGGTCCTGTCCTTGATGCATGGCCCTCGTGTTGCTCTCCTTTGGGGAGAAAGAGGGGGGCTAGGCTGCCTGTGGCCCTGGGTCTCCCTGCTCCATTCAGCAAACACAATCATCAGGCAGAATTGCCAGGCCCGGGAGCAGCGCTTTCTCAATGGGAGGGCTAAGTCTAGAGGGCAGGCTGCAGGCTCTGTCCCCAAATACTTGAGCCGATCGCTTAAAAAAGAAAGGGAAAATAGTGGCAGATCTTATGTTCATTTCGCATCAGACAGACCTCTTGGCCCTTCTGTGACCCTGGGCTAACACAGGGTGGTCCCTACCCCCCAAGCTGTGTAGCTCTAGTTCACCCTGCTCACTGGGCCCCCCTTTCTTGCCTCCAGGTTTCTGCATTGAGGCGCCTGGCCAAGCCCATGTCGGAGCGGGTGGCAGGGCGCGCAGGGCTGAAGCCACCCATGCTGGACTCGGGGGCTGAGGTGTCAGCCAGCACCACCTCATCTGAGGCCGAGTCGGGGGCCCGCTCTGTCTCCAGCATTGTGCGCCAGTGGAACCGCAAGATCAACCACTTCCTGGGTGACCATCCTGCCAACACCGTCAATGGTACCCGCCCGGCCAGGTGAGGTGGACTGGTGGTGCCTTGGCCTGTGTGGGCCCAGAGGTGGAAATATGGGGGGTAGGATCAGAATGAGGCCAGTGCTCTAGTCCCAGGGCTTGTCAGCTCCTGATGGGGGTTCAGTGGAGCTGCGGAGGTTAAGAGGTGTCACACCCAATCCCCTGTTGCCTCTGCCTCCCAGAAAGAAGTTCCAGAAGAAGGGGGCCAGCCAGAGCTTCAGTAAGGCTGCAAGACTCAAGTGGCAGTCCCTGGAACGGAGGATCATTGATATTGTCATGCAGAGAATGACCATTGTCAACCTGGAAGCTGACATGGAGAGGCTCATCAAGGTGGGCCTGCCTCCCGCCTCCCACCCTTCCCACTCTGCACTTATCCTCTGTCACCCTGACGTCTCTGGCTCCTCAGACCTTTCCCAGCCCTCTCTCTCTGCTCCTGGTGCCTGCTGTGGAATCCAGAGGTGCTGGGGCCCCTCATGGGCTGGAGATCTAGGGTGGGAGCTGTGGGCAGGACAGGGCAGACCCCTGAGACCCTGATGGTCCCCCATCATCATCCCCCCAGAAAAGGGAGGAGCTGTTCCTCCTGCAGGAGGCGCTGCGGAGGAAACGTGAGCGGCTGCAGGCCGAGAGCCCGGAGGAGGAGAAGGGGCTGCAGGAGTTGGCCGAGGAGATTGAGGTGCTGGCGGCCAACATCGACTACATCAACGACAGCATCACCGACTGCCAGGCCACCATCATGCAGCTGGAGGAGACCAAGGTAGCTATAGGGACGGGATTGGCTGGGGGAAGAGGTGGGAGAGATGGGTGGGCAGGGGCAGCCTCAGCTGATGGGGGTCTCTGTCTCCTGGTCCCAGGAGGAGCTGGACTCCACGGATACCTCGGTGGTCATCAGCTCCTGCTCCCTGGCCGAAGCCCGCCTCCTGCTGGACAACTTCCTCAAGGCGTCCATTGACAAGGTGAGCCTGCCGCTGACCTGTTCAGGGGTCCCGGCCGGCACAGGCGCCACCGTGACATAACCTAGTAGTGCAGCCCACAGGCCTGACTCCTCCTCGTTTGCGTCACTCACAGGCCAAGGCAAGCCTCCTGGCCTCCCAGCCTAGGATTCTGCAGCTATAAAACTGGGGTGATGACAATACCAGGCTTGTAGCTTGTTTCATGCCTTTAACAAGACAATGCCTGTATAGGGCCTGGCATGGCACCTGGCACGCAGCAGGGCCCCAATTAAAGGTGACCCTGGGTGTCTGGCCCAGGCCCATCCACAGCAAGGCTGGGCTTGAGTGTGTTGGAGGTAGAGGGAAAAGTGTGTGTACATTGGGGTGGAGAAGCAGGAGACAGATAGACAGACCACATTCTGCCCAGCAGGGTTTATCCCAGAACATTAGGCATCCCTTGGGGTTTCTGGGCTTCTCTCTTCTCTTCCCTCTTGGGACTTGAATCTTGGGAACAGACACCACCTGGTGTGCATGCAGTATGACTCAGAAGAAGGCGGGAGAGTTTGCCCTCTGTGACTCCTCACCCTATCCCCAGTGACTCCTCTCAGCTCTGCTTTGTGTCTAGGGGACTGCTTGAGTGTGCTAGGGCTGCCTTAACAAAGTGCCACAAACTGGGAGGCTTAAGCAACAGTGATTTATTGTCTTCCAGTTTTGTAGGCTAGGAGGTTCAAAGTCAAAGTGAAGCCTCTTCTCTGTGATTATAGATAGCAGTCTTCTCCTCCCTGTGTTTTCAGTCTTCCCTGTTTATATCTGCAATCATTCTGTGTGTGTGTGTGTGTGTGTGTGCACACGCGCACATTTTCTACTGGGGACTGAACCCAGGGGTGCTCTACCACTGAGACGCATCCCCAGACTTTTTTCTTTTCATTTTTAAATTTTTTTTTAGATATTGATGAACCTTTATTTTATTCATTTATTGATATGTGGTGTTGAGAATCGAACCCAGTGCCTCACACATGCTAGGCAAGCGCTCTACCACTGAGCCACAACCCCAGCCCATCCCCAGCCCTTTTTATTTTTTATTTTGATAAATTCAGGGTCTCACTGAATTGTCTAAGCTGGTCTTGAATTTGCAATCCTCCTGCCTCAGCCTACTGAGTAGCTGAGATTACAAGCATACCCCACTGCACCTAGCTCCCCTAATCTCTTTTTAAAAGGAGACCAGTCCCTTTGGATTAGGGCCCACCCATATGTTCTCATATTACCCTATTTACCTCTTTAAAGGCCTTGTCTCCAAACATATTCTGAAGTAATGAGGGGGACTTCTACCTGTGAGTTTGGGGGGACACAAGTTAGCTCATAACAGGGTGTATCCTAAGGTGACCTCCACCAAGCTGTGCACATGGGTGCTAAGGGTTGGGGCATACCCCCAAAGCCAGGAAGGCTAATTCCAGGCCTTGCTTCCTGCCATCAGGGGCTGCAAGTGGCACAGAAGGAGGCCCAGATCCGGCTGCTGGAGGGACGGCTGAAGCAGACAGACATGGCAGGCTCCTCCCAGAACCACCTGCTCCTGGATGCCCTGCGTGAGAAGGCCGAGGCGCACCCCGAACTGCAGGCCCTCATCTACAATGTACAGCAGGGTGCGTATAGGTGGGCTTTACCCCTGGGGAGGCCCCTGCTTCCTCAGAATTACCCTAGAAGCCCTTGTCTTATCCCCGCGGTACAGATGCAGGAGGGAGGGAGGCCATCCCTCCTTTCCCCTCCTTCCCCACACTGATGGGGTCTCTCCACCCTCCCTTCCTCCCACAGAGAATGGCTATGCCAGCACAGACGAGGAAGTCTCAGAATTCTCTGAGGGGAGGTGAGTTTCCCACCTGGGAGAGAGAGCCCAGCACACCTGGGGCTCAGAGAAGGAGTTGCCCAGGGTCCCAGGGCTAAGCCTGAGTTTGGGGGCTCTTTGAGACCCACAGGCTTAAGTCCCAGAGAGCCAAGAGAATAGGATATTAGGATCCTAAACTCTCTGCTTCTTCCTCAGCTTCTCCCAGTCATTCACCATGAAAGGCTCCACCAGCCATGATGATTTCAAGTTCAAGGTGAGCCCCACTGGAAGTCATGCAGTAGGTACATTAGGGCCAGCCTCCCACAGCCTGGACCCTGTCTTACTGTGACTTTGGCTCACCCCATCCGTGCCCTAATATTGCCCCCAGCTGGAATAGAGGTGCCAAGAAGAATCTAGCCTAGAATTGGGGAATGTGTAGTCCATCCTTTTTGAGGTGGGTAGAAAGTGGAAAAAGTGACTAGAGCCACTGCTGGCCTGTTTCCATTCTGCCTAGTGACATCCCCACATCCATTTTCAAAAATTTCTCCCTTCCCCACTGAAGACCCTCACCATGGTCTGAGCCAAATCCTAACCCTAGATGTCTAGTTATTTTGCCTGCAGATAGTTGATTCAACAGTGTAGGAATCAACAGTGAGGGAGTCTACCTAACATCAGGTATCAGTTGTTAGACTGAAACAAGACCCAAGACTTTTAAAGAAAAAAGGAGGAAAAAACACAGACAAGAAGCTGTGAATTTTATGCATATTTTGGGGGTAAAGTGATAAGCTGGTATCCAGCAAGAAGTCAGTCTGGGCATTCTGTGGTTTGCGTAGTTTAATAAAGAGCAACAAAACAATTTCAGTTGCCCTGGATTCTCCAGACACCTGGAGAGTTTAGCTGTGGAGCACAGAAGATGATATCTGGGTGTCTGGGTCCTTCCATTGGCTCTTCTTCCTTAGGCCAAGCCTGCACCATTTCCATGCTAAGGATTTCCCCTGGCTTCCCTTTCCTGTGCCATCCTATGTGGGCAAATTGATCCATCCGATTCTTTTTTTCCCAGGGGGAGCCCAAGCTGTCTGCCCAAATGAAGGCTGTGTCAGCTGAGTGCCTGGGACCCCCACTGGACATCTCCACCAAGAACATCACCAAGTCCTTGGCCTCCCTTGTTGAGATCAAAGAAGATGGGGTGGGCTTCTCCATCCGTGATCCCTACTACCGAGACAAGGTCTCACGCACCGTCAGCCTGCCCACCCGGGGCAGTACTTTGTAAGGAGGGGAGCCAGGGATGTGGGTCAGGGTGGGCAGGGAGTTGGGTCTGGGCCTGACTGGACCCTCTGTTCCAGCCCCCGGCAGTCTCGAGGCACAGAGACGTCCCCTCTGTCCCGGAGGAAGTCCTATGACCGGGGGCAGCCTATCAGGTGAGAACCTCTTCTAGAATCAGCTCCAGATTCACTGCCAGTGTAGTGGTTGGGTGTGTGAATGGCTGTGGAATTCCACTCTGTAGATTATCATGTGTGCTTTCTAATCTGGGCTGGCTGGACTGAGTCATTCAGCTACTCCCATGGTCCCTTGTACCCCATCAGCTGTGGGCTTGGGATGTGTCATCTCCATAAGGCACCTGGGTAGCCAAGCCAAATAGTTAAAATGTTTGCTGATGTGCACTCAACATAGGTGGCTTTGTAGTAGCTTAGATTTGCTTCAGCCCTGTTTCATGACAGTGGGTCCTTGGGAGATTTGACTCTTTTTTTTTTCCTTCCAATATTTTTACCTTTATTGTTTATTTAGGTTTTTTTGTTGTTGTTTTGTTGTTTGTTTGTTTATTTTTTTGTATGTGGTGCTGGGAATTGAACCCAGCGCCTCATGCGTGCTGGGCAAGTGCACTACCACTGAGCCACAACCCCAGGCCTGAGCTTTGACTCTTTTTAAGACCTCCTGTTATGAGAGGAGTCTAGAAATTAAAAGAAAAACCAGAGAGCTACAGAACAGCAGAGTAACTTCCAGATGCTCAGATGCACATGGGCCAGGCCCTCCAGAGCTTCTGAAATTGCAGAAGGACTGTTGGGGTCCTCTATTTGCATACTTCATTTTCCGAGGTTTGGTGGCCTTCCCCTGGTCACATGGCTAAATAGTGGGAAAGCTAGCTCAGTTTGATCTTTTGCTACCTGTTTTTGTGAGAGGCAGAAGGGGGACCTACTCAAGGTCTCAGCTCTCCCTTCTCCAAAGCCTTTGCAGAAGCCCCTGTTAGGGACTTGCAAAGTGGCCTTGGTAGAGAATGGTCTGTGTACTTGAAGCTTTACAACCTGTCACTTTATCTCTGAACTGAGAGAACACTTTTAAGTGCAGTCAGGATTTAAGGCAAAGTCATGACGGCTCTCCAAAGAGCCCTGTTTCATGGCTGTGGGTCCTTGGGAAAAGGTTTAGGCAGAACCCAATGATAACTTCCCAAGAAGAGGGATCCTGGGGTATTGGAATGGGCTGTGTAATGACATCCTGGTCTCCCTTGGAGGTATGGTCAGCTATCATCATTCATGGTGGTTATTATGTCCTGTGAAGTCGCAGTGAGCACTGTGCGAGTAAGGAGCCACTGGTCCCCAAGGAGATGGAGGGTATGGTTTCTGCGAGCCTCGGCTCATGACATTTTCAGTGGCTGAGCAGCACATTACCTTATTTTATATGTGCTTCTACTTCAAGACACCTTAGTTAATATACCTTGTTGACAATTAGCATTGCACTCACAAGCACAGCACCCACAGATTTTTAAACCATAAGGCACTTCCCAGCCTGCTTACAGCTTAGGAACCAGACAGCACTTTGGTACTATGCTTGGGGACCATTTTAAAAAATTGAAATCATCATCATTAAAACACACAAAAAAGTTTTTTAAAAAATCCCATGGATCTAAATAATTGATGAACAGGACACTTGTTCCAGTGTCAGAGCTGAAACAAGCTCAGCTAGGAACATGAATCTTTAAGTGACAAATTTTCTCACTGCACTGAAAGTCCCAGGATAATGGATTTTGAAGAGTAGTACCTAGGAACCTGGGTGGGGACTCAGCTCTGAGACAAGGTGGAAACCCAGCTCTGGGGGTGGCCTGTGGGCAAGGGTGGTCACTCACAGATGCCGCTCTCTGTCCCTGCTCACCAGGTCCACAGATGTGGGATTCACGCCTCCATCTTCCCCTCCCACCCGGCCCCGCAATGACCGCAACGTCTTCTCTCGTCTCACCAGTAATCAGAGCCAGGGGTCAGCACTGGACAAGTAAGAGCAGGGCTCAGGGGCAAGACTGGGAGGGCACAGAGGAGGAGCAGGGAGCCTGAGGGCTGGGCCTTGCTGGAGACAGGCAGGAAGAGCCGGGCAGACCCCATGCCTAAGATTTTGGCCTCTGAGCCAGGAGGCCCTGACACTCCCTATCCTTTCTGTACTGACTCTAGGCCCTTCCCTTCCCGGAGCATGCTGGACCTCAGGAGAGGGCAGGAAGGAAGCCACTGGGATGGCGGCTAGGGCAGTGAGGAGGCGCTGGCCGGTGGGGCTGGCACACCAGAGGGCTCCCCAGAACTGCCCTTTCCATCTGCCTCAGCTGATTCTTTGCTTTTCTCTGAAGCCCCTTCCTTTAGCTTCAACCAGTACCCTAACTGACCAACCAGTACCCTAACCCACCGCAGACACGACCTTGAGTTACCTTCACATGAAGGGCTCCGCTCACCCGTCCTCACAGCTCCTGTTGTAGCACTAATTGCTCGTAGTGTAATGTGTGTTAACCGCAATCCCTGCATCCAGAAGGTGCTCACCTTGCTTTACTGCCGGCTCTCCCATCCGTGGTTCATTGGAACTGTCAATCAACCCTGAGAACCGTCTTCCCTGTTTCATTTAGGAGGAAGGGGGCCCAGTCCTAGAAAGTGACTAAACAGGGTCCAAGCTGGAACTTTTAATTCCCACCAGCCTGGTACCCCTAACAGGGAGAGCCCCATTGTCCCTGTGTTCCTCTCTATGCTCCCTAAAAACTTCTGTACTGCAAGGGACAATGATATCATGTCTCTCAGGGGAGCCCACGTTAGAAAATGCTTATCCTCGATCGTGATGTCCACCCTGTCCCCCTCCCTGCAGAAACACTACTTCCCGGGCCAAAATGCTGCTCCCTGAATGCTGACTCTGGGGTTCAGACCCAGTACCCCGGGTGTACCTTCCTTCCCCAAACCTGCCTCAGCTTGGGCTACTGTTGTGGGAGTTGCTGGCCCTCCCCCATCAGGAGCACCCCTCCTATGTGCCATTATGGCCATCTGGACTGGCTCTTTTTTGCAAGAGCTGGGATGGGATGCTGACCCTCCTGGTGTGGTGGTCTTTTGGGGGCCTAGGTTCAATCCAGTGGTTCCAGTCTTGGGATCCGTGTGTGATATAAAGCCGTCCTCTTGGCATGGTCCCACTTGGCTCCCTGGGGACAGTGGGCTTTGTAAATGTGAGTGAGTCCTGAGGAGTTGCTGGAAGAAGCTAGCTCCTAGACAGAGGTGGAAGCAACCATGGCTTCCTCTGGCCCTGGTGGGTACAGGATCACTGAGGTGGGACAGGTGTCCCCAGCTTGTGCAGTGAAGCAGCCAGAGAGCTTGGAACCAGCAAAGAGCCGGGAACCACTTCCCCAAGTGGGAAACTGGCCTCCCATCTCCTGTGGCCCCTCTCACTCCCACCCGGCAAGCTGAGGGACTCTCTGGTGGCCCGCTCCTGGGGGAGCCTCGGCTCCCAGGCCAGCCTATCCCTGCCTCCTTCCCTGCTCTCCCTGAAGGCTCTCCTCCTCTGCCTCTCTCACCCCCTCCAAGAGAATAACTGCCCCCTGACCTTCCTGCCGCTGCTGCCGCCACCTCTGCCATTCCTGTGTGTGTTTTCCTCTCTCCCCTAATCCAGCTAATTTTCTGCCCTCCCCAGGTCTGATGACAGCGACTCCTCTTTGTCGGAGGTCCTGAGGTACACACAGAAAGTCTCTTGTGTTTGGTCCCCTCTGGCTCTCTTCTCTCATCTCTGCCTCTCGCTGCACCGGCCCCTCCCGCCTGCACACCTGTCCTCAGCATGCAGCCCCTCCTCTCCCAGAACCCTGCCTCCCCTCCGCCATGTCCCTCCTGAGACTTCTTCCTGCCCCATGGTTCCTCTCTCTCAAGGTGGCCCCGTGGCCTCTGACTGTGCCGGGCCTGGCTGGAGCTGGGGGCTTGGGGAGGGGGTGCGGTTGCTTGTGGCCCACCCTGTTCTCTTCTCCCTCCTGGCCTGAGCAGGGAGGGGCAGAGCATGGAAGCCTGGGGTGGCTGGGGCCGGAGCTGAGCTGCTAAGGGGCGGAGGGCAGGGGAAAGGCCGTGGGCGCCACAGCTGGGCTGCTGTTCTTTTCATGGGTATTGGTGGCTCCGGTGGCTGTGCTTAAAATCCTTGTGACTTAGCTTATGCCAGTAGGGGAGCCCTTCAGACGTTGGCTCGGTGGGGAGGTGGGGAGCACCAAGGAGGGCCCACATCTCTTGGTGTGCAGATGTGCAGGTGCCTCCTGCCACCTCGACCTGTGGGACGACCAGAGGCTGTTTCCCCGGCAACCCAGCACAACACCCCATAACACGGAGCGAGTCTCAGGACCTGGAGGGCCTGAGCCCCCAGCAAGTGAAGGGCTCCGATCCACTCTCCAGCCCTGGTGTCGACCTTTGTTAGTTTGCTTTTCCCCCAGGAACTGCTGGCCTGGACAGCCAGCCTCTCACTATAGGGAGGACTCTCCTTTCACCAGTTTCCACAACTGGCTAACTCGGCCCACACCAGTGTCATAAGTGGGGAGCAGGAGCATCCTGGGGAGCTATTGTGCGTGTGCCTGGCTGGCAGCTGGGTGTGTCCAAGCACTGGTCCTGGAGGGAGGGCGTGACCAAGTCCACAGGGGCTGTTCCAGAAGCGCTGTTAGGATAGAACATTGGTCATTTCAGTAAACCCTTGGCCACAGTGTCGATGTCAGGAGCAGCATTCTCCTTAAAAAAGAACTAGAATATATTTCAAGTTATAACTCAGCCAAAAGGCCCTCACTAAGGAAATAAAAATCATCCTCAGAGCCCCCAGGAGCCTGGTATAGCCAAACCCTCATGCTCACTGGCCTCTGCCTGGTCCCCTCTCAGGGCAAGGAGGTGCCATTCCAGATCCATATAGCCTCCTTCTAGAGAGGCCACAAATATCCTAACCCCGAGCTCAACTGGGGTCCCTACAGGGATTTATCCCTTTGTAAATGACAGACGCAGATGTCATGCTGGTCATGACAGACTGTCATGACAGACCTGCCCATGCTGGTCCAGCAGGGGCCCCTGTGTGGGTGGGTGTGCATGGGCGTGAGCCGGTGAGCCTCACTGGTTGGGAGGTGCCAGCCCGGAGGCTCTCAGTAGCAAATGGAAGTCGTGCAGGGTGCCTGGGAGGGTGGTGGCCTGGCTCCTCCCTCTCTGCTCCCTTCCCCTCACACTGCATAACTGAAGCAGCATGGAGACTGTGTTGGGAGCTTCAAGGGTCAATTCCAGCACATGGGCCTTTGCCCTGCCCGCCTAGGGCCTGACTGCTCTTATGTCTCAGGGTCTGGATCAGACAGCATATAGATGGGGACACTGAGGGCAGGGCCCATGCTTCTGCTCCTTCCAGCGGGGCCTAGCATGGGATTTGCCCCCCCAGAATTGTTCAGGCTGGTGACTGGCTGTTACTCTACCAGATGGTCCCTGCTGCCCTGCGCAGCCCTTCTCTGCTCTCGGACCTTGGTGGAGTTTGGCTGAAGATCCTGGAGTCTGTCATTAGGCCCTCATCTCCTCCCTGCCCTGACCCCACCTCCCCTATGTACCTTGATCAGCCTAGCTATAGTATCCCCGGCTGACAGGCACGTCCTTTCTCCCTCTCTCCCGGGAAGGGGCATCATCACCCCCGTTGGAGGAGCTAAGGGTGCGCGGACAGCCCCGCTGCAGTGTGTGTCTGTGGCCGAGGGTCACACCAAGCCCATCCTCTGCCTGGATGCCACAGACGAGTTGCTTTTCACAGGGTCCAAAGGTAAGTGGAACTCTGGCTGGCCAGATAGGGTTAGGGTCCCCCACCCACCCTTCCTTTGCCAGAGTGAGCCATGAAGGAGACAAGAACACAAAGCTCCCATGAGCTGAGGCTCCGAGGTCAACTTGCTTACCACTGTATCCCTTGCCTTGGCTCAAGGCTCCCATTCCATGCAGCTGGCCTTGCTGACTCTACCTAGCACTGTCTTCCAGATCTTCCCTAGAAACTTCAGGAAGCTTCTCAGGTGTCCAACCTACGGGCACATCTTGGTCCTCCAACACCACCACTCTCCAGACATCACCCGTCATCCGTAGCTAAGCCAGTCCTCTGATCTCAGCAGCAGAGCCCCACAGACTCATGCTTCTAAGTCACAACAGCACAGAAATTTGACTAGCAGAAAGTACACATCTGTAGTAGACGTGTGTGCGTGCATGCGTGCGAGCGTAATAGAAACACAGGCATGTGTACATATACAAATATGTGCATCCACAGCAGGAGGGAGGTAGCAATAGAGTATGATTGATTGTCTTTCAAGTTTTCCTATATTTTTCAAGTTTTCCTTATTCATTTAGGCAGTGTTGGCCTCTGTAGGAATAGGCACCAAAGGCTTAGGAGTTTTGTTTTAGCTCAGGATACCTTGGACTAGCCCTGTTTTAAAGCTCTCGCCAACTTCTTTCCCCTGAGTTTTTCTCGAGCACATGCACATGTACATAAGCATGTGTCTGTTTTTCTTTCTGTCAGACTTCCTCCAGATCCCTCTGACCCTTCCCTTGACAGGCCAGTGCAGGAGAGCTGCCTGGCCCCCCACCCCCCACCCTCTTCCCATGGCTTACATCACTCCTCTCCTCCTGTCTCCTCCTCTCTCCCACAGACCGAAGCTGCAAGATGTGGAACCTAGTAACGGGGCAGGAGATCGCAGCTCTAAAGGGCCATCCCAACAATGTGGTCTCCATCAAGTACTGCAGCCACTCGGGGCTGGTGTTCTCCGTGTCCACCTCCTACATCAAGGTGTGGGACATCCGGGACTCAGCCAAGTGCATTCGGACTCTCACGTAAGTCCCTCCGTCTGCCCTCCAGTATTGGGCTGCAGCAAACTGGGCTGCTAATAGTTCTTTCCAGCCCAGGTGATCCACTGAACACAGCCCAAACTGGCCATGTGGACACAAAGGCCCTTACTGCCCTTGGACTTGGCTTGACTCTGGGGAACAAGATGAGATCTCTTGGTTTGGGGGACAAACCAAGTTTCTGGGGCAGAAGATTGGTGAGCCTTTGGCCTGCCTGGATCCCACCTTTGCCCCAATCCCCAAGCCCTGTCCTTTGAGACACGAGGGATATAAACATAGGAATCTGAGGAATCTGGAAACAGGGTGAGACCAGCAGATGGCAGCAGCCTTCAAAGCCAGGCCAGCCACCTGTGAGGGTAGAGGGCCACAGGCATGGTGTTGAGGCCTGGCCCTGACAGCCCCAAGCAGACACAGGGGAGACTGAGCCAGATGAGCACCATAAAAATCATATTTTGTCCCTTTATGTACATTGTAAACCCAAGTCTGTTATTTAATTTGATCCTTAAAAAGTTAACAGAGGATTTTAGGGCAGTGAAAGTATTCTCTGTGATTCTGTAGTGGGAGATAAACCCACAGAATGTACAACATTAAGAATGAACCCCAACGTATGTGATGGACTTGGGTGATGATACGTCAACGTTGATCCACTCTGATGTGGGCTGTTGATAATGGGGGGAAGGGGGGAGGGGGCTGTGCATGTTGCGGGGAAGGAGGTGTATGGGAAATCTCTGTATCTTCCATTCCATTCCGTTTTTGCTACAAGCCTTTTTTCTTTTAAAAATAAAAAAGAAGTCTTAGGAGAAAAGTTAACTGAAGGGGTATCATGGCCTCTTTTCACAGATGAGGAAGTGGTGGTGGGGTGGGATTTGAGGGATTTCCACAAGGCCCAGGTTCAAACCCAGTCCCCTGCCTCCATCTTGCAGTCTTCCCAAGGCGGCTGGTGTACTTTAATACAGAGGCTCAGCTGGGGCTGGCGTGGCGTTCTCCCCTTGGTCCCACTTCTAGGGAAATTTGTTCATCTCTGCCAGTCCTCATCAGGCTTCCTGGAAGAAGCCCGTTATCCGGGCCGGTCTAAGGGAGCTTTTATTAGTTTCCTGGCCTGCATGGATGCACTGTTTTGATCTCTAGCCTGGCCTCTTTTTCCTCCTGGGCAGGTCCTCAGGCCAGGTGATCTCAGGTGACGCCTGTGCTGCCACTTCAACCCGGGCCATCACCAGTGCCCAGGGGGAGCACCAGATCAACCAGATGGCCCTCAGCCCCTCTGGCACCATGCTGTATGTGGCCGCAGGCAATGCCGTCCGCATCTGGGAGCTCAGCAGGTCAGTGAGCTGCCTGGGGAAGAAGCTTGGCATGGCCCCGAGGAGCTTGGGATGACCAGCCCTAAGGTGGGCAGGACCTCAGTTGGGCCCCCAGTCCTACATGCTGCTGAGCTGTGTCCCCTCTTCTGAAATCCCTGGGTCCCACGGCAGCATATGTCCAGGTTCTTGATCTTGCTTGGAGGAGGAGGGGAGGGTACCCTAGCCAGGCCTGTTTGTCTCAGGGCAGACCCCACCCTGACGCAGGGTCCCGTCTAACCCACTGCTCTTGGCTGGGCCCCTCCCTGCTGCAGGTTCCAACCCATTGGCAAGCTGACTGGACACATTGGCCCCGTGATGTGCCTGACGGTCACCCAGACTGCCAGCCAGCATGACCTGGTGGTGACTGGCTCCAAGGACCACTACGTCAAGGTATCTGAGCTGCCTCTGCTCCAAGACCCGGCTGGGGTATTCTGGGTGTTTCTACCACTTTCTTTCACCTTTGCCCCCGGTTGTCTTGGGAGTCTTCATGAAAAGTAAGGAGACTTCTGGGGATTTATGCTAAAGAAAGCACCCCAAAGAAGGCAGGAAGGTGTGCAGAAAGTTTCAGCATTATTAATTCATTAAAATTAATGCATTATTAATTAATAAAGCTGCAGCATTATTTTCTAAGTGCTGAACAATTTAGAAACAGCCCAAATGTCTAAGGACAGGTGGAAAAATCCCCTGATCAGGATGCAATATGGCTATTAAAATGATCAATAGGAAGAAGAATCACAGAGCATACAAGCAACTAATTTGGTTTGCTCTCTGAATATGCAGTTGGATATGGTCAGAAGCTGGAAAGAAGCATATCTAAGAGAGACGGGGGGGAAGGACTGTGGGGAATTTCTCCACAGCAGTGCCTGGGTCCTGGCCTCCCCATGCCAACCTCCTACCCCTGCCCCTCTGGGGCTCTCCCATCCCTCCCCTCCTCCCCAAGATGTTCCAGCTCGGCGAGTGTGTGACAGGTACCATTGGCCCCACTCATAACTTTGAGCCCCCGCACTACGATGGCATCGAGTGCCTGGCCATCCAGGGAGACATCCTGTTCAGTGGCTCCCGTGACAACGGCATCAAGAAGTGGGACCTGGAGCAGCAGGAGCTCATTCAGGTGTGGGCGGAGGGGAGGAGAGGGTGGCCAGGGCCAGTGCCCCAGGCAGAGCTCCCCTAGTCTGCCTGTTCCCCACCCGCTTCCATGTCTGTCCCCCCAACCCCCTCCAGCCTCTCCTGATCCCACGTCTCACCTTGGGCCCCTGCTCTCAGCAAAGTCTTTCTGGTCAGCCCTTGGGTTTGAATGTGAAGCTCAGTCTCCAGATTCCCTCCCCTGGGAGCCTTTCTGTTTGAGCCTGACCTCTCTGAGGGCACAAGGTTTCTCCTTCAGGGAAGATCTTAGATTTGAACCTGGGAGCCAGGGCAGAAGGACCCATATCAGGGCTTCTGAAGCCCTCAGCATAACCAGCCCTGCCCAGTGCCTAAGACTGATGAAGCCCATCTGCGGGGCGGCCGTGGAGACCAGGGGAACCTGGTGGCAGCCCTCTGTCCCTGGCAGGAGGGGTGTGTGCTCCTGGGGCCCCAGGGCATGTCTTTCCCTGCCTCCTCACCTCCCCCAGCCCTCACCAGCCCTGATCCTCCCGCAGCAAATCCCCAATGCCCACAAGGACTGGGTGTGTGCCCTGGCCTTCGTCCCAGGCCGCCCCATGCTGCTGAGCGCCTGCCGCGCGGGCGTCATCAAAGTCTGGAACGTGGACAACTTCACGCCCATTGGTGAGATCAAGGGCCACGACAGCCCCATCAATGCCATCTGTACCAACACTAAGCACATCTTTACAGCCTCCAGGTAGGTGCTGGACAGAGAGGGCTGCCTTTGTACACGTCCCTCTCCCTGGTGTGGGAAGGACAGCTGGGAGGCTCAGGGCCACACAGCTTTCCTGAAGACTCGGTTCATAGAGCAGACCCCAGGGCACCCTCCTGTTTATCCCAGCTGGTGCCAGCCTTCACTGAGTGCCTATGTGCCAGGCGCTGCACCAGGCAAGGGTCAGGGAGCCCCTGAGTCCAGGGCCGGGACTTGCCCACCTGTCTCCATGCTCTTCCTGTCCTCACACAGCAGTGCCACCAGCAGTCTCCGCCCCATCTAGGTGGCTCTCAGACTGCAGAGCAGGCCTGCCAGCCCAGACCACAGCTCCCTCCAGCCCCAGCCCCGGTCCCCTGCGCAGGCAGCACCCAGGCCCATGGCCCCAGGGGTACACCTCAGACGGGTTTCTTCTTTTTCCTTCTCGTTCCGACCATGTCCCTTCTCTCCCTCTCCCCTTCCTGTGTCCTCCTGCCTCTCCTTTCTGCCTCTCCAACTCTTTCCCCCAACAGTGACTGCCGGGTAAAGTTGTGGAATTACGTCCCTGGACTCACCCCCTGCCTTCCTCGCCGAGTCCTGGCCATAAAGGGCCGCGCCACCACCCTGCCCTGACCCTCCCCCTCTCCCCGGTCTCCTCTCTCGTTCTTCCCCTCTTTCCTTTTTCCCTGTCTTTTCCCCTCTTCGGTCTGAGCTGCTTCTTCACGGTATGAGATCATTTTACTCTTCTTCCTTACTGTCCCTTCCTGTCCTGCCTGGCCCAGAGAGATTGCTCCACCTGCCCCTCTCCACCCGCCTTCCTCCTCCCAGCATGAACAGAGTCCCAGGAGAGGGATGCCAGGTAGCAGAGAGCAGGGAGGGAGCGTTCAGGTGGACAAACAAAAGAGTAACAGGAAGGAAAGCCCAGGATGACAGTCCCCCAGGGCCTTTGAGACCCCAGGCACCTCCCTCGCCCAGCGCTCCTCCACCCTGTGGTCTGCCCTCCTCCTGGGCAGTGCCTACCCCCCAGTCCTGGCCACACGTGGGGAGTGGGGGAATCAGCAGCCAGCTGGGCCCACTCCGGGAGCTGACCAGCCCCCTCTCTGTCCTTCTCCCAGTGACCTGACGGTGAAGTTCTGGAGCATACGGCGGTTACCAGCGGCCAACCCTAGGAGTTAGGTCAGGGCATGCCTGGACCCTCAACCCCAGCAGCCTTCACTGCATGGAAGGGAAGCTGTGGCCTGACCAGACTGGCTAGCCGGCACTGGGGACAGAGGGTGTGGCCCCTCTCCTGTTCCACTTCCTCTCCCTCGGCCATAGGATACTATCACCTCCGTTCCTCCCCGACTCTTAGGAGCCTCCTGGTGAAAGAAGTTGGAGAGGAAATCAAGCTGTGAAGCCAAAGGGCATTACCCCTCTTCTCTCTCCCCTGGAAGTCCCCTGGGGTTCCCTCCATCTGGCCACATGGTCTCCTGCTGAGCTAGCCCTGCTGCAGGCCATTGGTCCAGGGTGGGACCTGTAGGGGAGGGGAAGCAGCTTCTGCCCATCATGCCCCTCTGATGAGCGCCCAGCTCAGCCTCTGTACCACTTCACCTGCCTCTGAGCCCAACCAGGTAGTCCTCAGGTAACCATGGAAACCAGGTGTAGGCAGCTAGGCCTTGCAGCTGACCTTGAACCCTGTGGCCAACAACATCTAGTCCCAGTGGGCCTGAACCATTCCCTGGAGTCCCATTCTGATGGGGGCCAAGGTGGAGCTACTAGAAAGATTCCTTTGAGGAGATGGTCAGGAATACTTCATTTTTTTAATTTATTATTTTTTTATTTTTTGCTGTTGCCTCCTGGAAACCGACTTGAAGTTCCCTCCCACACATTCTTTCCCTCAGCTTTAGGGACTTTGCTCCCCAGCACTCCAGGGCCACCTCCTCTGTTTGCTTTGCAAAGGAGAGAAATGCCCTCTGCCACTCTTTGCAGCCCTGACCTATCCCCAGCTCTGTCCCTGGGGATGCTTCTAGTGCCCCCCTGGCCTCTGGGCCGCCTGAGCTTCAGTGCCTTCCTTCGCCCCGGGGCCTGGCCCTCGTGCTGGGCAGCCTTACGCCAACCATGCCCGCTGCGCCACATGTGTCTTCTACTCAAGGGGTCTCATGTCCACCACCCCTGGAAGGCGGGGGAGCTCACCCCACACAGCCCAGGGCTGGGGAGCCCTGCTCCCCAGACTCCCACATGGTCACATAGGAAGCAGCTTGGTGGCCCTGTCCACTAGGAAGCTGCTTGGGTGGTGAGGACTGCCCAGCACCTTGCCCCTCCCTCCCAATCAACCTATCGTTTCACCCCTGAATAGGACAAGGGGTCTTTTCAGCTTCTGTCCTTCTGGTTATCAGGAGGCACATTCTCAAGCCTTAAAAGCGGCATGGGGCATGGGCCTCCCTAGAGATTGGAGGTCAGATGGCAGTTAGTTCACTGAGCCGCTCCCTCCCCTGGGGCTCCAGGAGGGGGCCAAACCAGTGTTCTGACGCCCCCTGTTGGACCCACTCTGAATTCACAGGAATGGGAGGGGCCAGCTCCGTCCCTCACTCCTGGCTTCTCCCCAAGCCTGTCCACATTGTTTTCCGTTGCTTCACTGGTCTGGTGCTGACCGGCCCCAGTCTGGAAGCCAGGATTCCCAGCTCCGTTCGGAGGACATGGTGACTTATGGACTACCCAGTTAATGGCGCGATGTTTCTGTCCTGAGCTCCTCTCCGTCTGTGGCTGGGGCTGTTGGAGTCTGCTCCACATGGGCCCTGGTGGGCAGGGTGAGGCCCCAGTGAAAGCTGAGGCCTGCCACCCTCCCTGAGCCCTCCTCAGAGCCACCCCAGAGGCTAAGGAGGCCGTCCTGCTTGTTGGCGGCCCCTGCTGGACATGGCATTGAGTCTGGGTGAGCATGCTCATCTCCTGGAACCTGGACAGTCTGTCTGCTTCGACTGGAAGTCCTTCTTTCTCTTTCCATCCCTGGAGTGCTGGCTAGCTCCCTTTGCACTCAGAAGTGACCACAAGTCTCCCCCTCCCCGTCCACCCCTCCCCGCCTGAACAGAGAGCTTCGACCTTCAAACTCGTCCGCATGACCGTTTACAACTACAGAAACACGTGGAGACTTGTGCCCCCTCCCCTGCCCCCATGGGCCAGGGAGGCCCCATCGTGGGGCCACCCAGCCCAGGTGACTGTACTGTAGCTGCAAGGCCTGTCCGAGGTGTGGTCTCACGGCCCTGCGAGAGGTGCTCATCAACATTGCCCGCTCTTCGCCATTCCTGATGGGTCACTACCTCACAGCGGGGCCGGCTCTGCTGTCCCGGCCAGTGTCATTGACTCTAAACTTGAAGTCCTTTGGGAGCCCTGAGCCAGTCGTCTCTGAGCCGCCCGGACCTGTGCTCTACGAGCGTTGGAGTCACCCACTCTTTCCAGAGGTCCATAGTCAGGGGGCAAGTCCCCGGTCACTGCACAAGCATCCAGAGTTGGAAGCACAAACTGGTTGTGATTTGAGCACAATGGCAGGGTTCTCACGGGCAGTGTGCACAGTCCTGGGCCTGGGAGGCTCCTCCCAGGTTGACCTTGTCCCCTGTTATACTAAGGATGCCCGTGTCTAGAATTGGTGGCTGCCCTTGCTGAGGCTAGGTCTTGGCTTGTAATCGTCATTTTACTTCTTGTGCCCATCCTAAGGCCAGAGCCCAGGCCACATCTGTATGTTGTGGGCCCAGGGAGTAGAGCCCTCCCTTGTCCCCACACCCCAGGGCTGGCTCCCAGCCCTACCAAGCCTAAAGAACTTGGCCCCAGACTCCCTGCCTCCTGGGTTGAGCCCCTGTCCTTGCTTTTGAAGTGGATTGGCTTCCACCCAGGAGGATGGTGTCCTCCATCCCCGCTGCCTGCGGGCCCTCTCAGCACAGTCCTGTGTCAGGACCTCATTCTCAGTATTAGCCAGTTAGTATTTGATTTTACTCTAGTGACTTGGCCCCTCTGAAGCAGCCAGAATCCTCCAGGGTCGCACCTGGAGCTCCATGGGAGATTGCCAAGGAGGGAGGTGGACAAAAAGGCAGAGGCTAGCCCAGACAAGCCTGGTGGTCAGGGGTACCACCAGCCGCTTGGGAAGGGACAGCTGTGGCTCTGGGAGTGGCCTCCAGCCCACCCACCCTTGCCCCAGCTGCAGCCTTGGAAACTCCGCCTTGAGTGGTCCAGCCCTGTTGCCCACCTGGGGCCCTGTGGCTTTGGCAGAGGGCAGTTGAAAGCACAAACCCACCGTAAGGAAGACCCTGAGTGGCTGGAATTTTCTTGTGCTCCCCAGTGTGGTGGGCACAGAGGCAGGCGGCCCTGTGAAGTCAAGGGAGATGTCTCTTTGCCCTGCCCCCACACCCCCAGTCCCGGCTCCTGGTGGGGCAGTTCCTGATGGAGTCTGGGCTGGGTGCAGGCACACCCCTCTGGCTGTCTGGACCCTGCCTGTGCCTGGTATGTTTGTATGGGCAGGGCCTGCCCTGCAGGAATGGTGAATTCCTTCCCACTGTGTGGCCCAAACCTGTGGCTTCTATCCCTTTGCCATCTCAAACAAGAAACTGCTTGCTGCCTTCTTTGCTGGGTATAGCCTCCTCCTCCTCATCAATGGCCAGTGTCCCCCACAGGCCTTCCTGAGCCTGGGCCTCCTCTCCCAGCTCTCAAACTGTCATGGCCCTCTTATGTATAAGAACAAAATCTGCAGGGAAAGTTCTGTTTCTTCTCTGGCACCTTTGTTCTGTCCCTTATGTCTACCTCCCTCTGTCTCCAACACCCAAATGATCCCTCAGCCCCCACCACACCTTAGTTCAGTCCTTTAAACCTGTGTCCCTAGGGCCTTGCCAGGAAGAGGGAAGTAAAAACTGTTTGATGAAGAGCAGAGAGTCAGAGAAGACCCCTGAAGTGAATCAGGGTCCTGCCCTGACACCAGCTTTTTCCTAGCCATCACTCCGACCCAGGCTGCAGGGTCTTGTTTGGCTCTGCGATGTGACGAGCACAAGGTGTATATATATATATGTTTTGTACCTCTGCTGAGACTGTACATAATGTATGAAAGTTATTTAAGCCTCATGCTGTACATTTCTGTTCCTAGATCATGTGTGTGTTCTAAGAAGTTGTCATAAATAAAACCCCAACGACCCGTGTCTGTGGAGGTGTGGTCCCTGAGGGCTGCTGACCTTTGGCTGTGGGTCTTCTCTTGAGAAGTTGGTGGTGGGCTGGTCTCTGGGCACGGGCCTAATCTGATGAGAACTTCTTGGGCTGAGAGTTTGGGGCTTCCCTAAGTAGGAGGCAGAGCTTTGAGGGTATCACATACCTCTCCAGACTCCATACATTGCCTCCCAGGGCTGGGGCAGGTGCAGTTGGTGGAAGAGCAGGCACTAGCATCTGTGAAGCACCTGCTGTATTCCAGGCACTGTTCAGGACATTTTTTTGTGGATTTTCACTACTCCATGTGAGAGGTGATATTCTCATTTTATGAAATGAGAAGTGTCCCAGAAGGAGGTGACATATCCAGGCTCGTAGCTAATTTAGGACAGAGTCGAGATTTGAACCAGCCCTGCCCAAGCACAGCCCCCATTTCCTTTAATGTTCTGTGTACCTTCTCTAGGGCCTGGATTTCACAGTGTGCGGTAGAGACCAGACACGTCATCACCTTGCCACTTACGGAGAGAAGACAGAAATATAAAAAGTGCATATTAGAAAACAGCTCTACAGTGGTTGTTGGTTTTTATTTCTAGATCAGTACTTTTCAATCTTTGAAAAGCTATAGTCCTGCCCTTTTCTTTTTTTTTTTTCTTTTTTGGTGCTGGGGATTAAACCCAGGGCCTCGGGCATCCTAAGCACATGCTTTACTACTGAGCCACATCCCAGCCACAACTACATTCCCCTTTGATAACTGTGCACCCCTCCATCAAGCGGGGGGGGGGGGATTCTGGCCCATCCTCCAGGCAAAGAGCTCCCTGAGGGGAGTCTGCATCTTCATCACCAGCAAGATCTCTAAAAGCTTTGCTTTCTGATCGCTGCACCAGGGAGACAATCGGGCCTCTCTTTGCTTACTTTCTTAAATATAAAAACAAGTTGCCTCCTCCACCTGCACGGGTCCTTGATCCTTGCTGCTTATCAAGACCCACAGCTGGACGGGATCGAGCCAGCCAGTTCCTGGAGCCTGTGAGAGGCCGCATCGTCACAGGTGGGAGGAAAGGGTTCCTTCAAGACCCTCTGATTCTCAAACAAAGCCCCTGGAGAGTGAAAGAAGACCCTGAGCCATGGAAGGAGATGAGTGGGAAGAATTTTCCTAAGTCCCCAGTCCCCCAGAGGGCCACAACTCCTGCTTTGGGACGCAGGGTGGCTTCCTGAGGGTGGTAGTTTGGGGCTGGGTGTGTAAATGAAACCTGGAGACCAGGAGCCCATGAAGATGATGGGCCTTCCGTGGTGGGTCCTCCTGACATTGAGCTCCCCTCGGGGATGGCAGCAAGTTTTTCCAAACTCAGGTCGCCTTTATGTTGAGGACACCAATGTCCTTGGGTGGGGGGAGACAGGGTTAAGGGATTCCTTTTAACAATTTTTTTAAATTGTAGGGTGCTCTTCCCCCAAGATTATAAAAATAACATCTGCTTACTTTAGATATTTTGGAAAACAAAAGAGTCAAGAAAAATTCCATTTAGGATCTAAGCTACAGGGCAGTTTTCCCTGACAAGGAAATGACACTACTCAGAATTTAATAAGAGAAATTTATTGAACTGGGTGGCATCTTAAAAGGTCATTTTTCCCCCAACTCTCTCAATTTACAGATGAAGGGAAGTTAAGGCCAGAGAGGCTGATAGGACTGGCCAAAGTCATACTGGGGCAGAGATGGCCCTAGAATTCATGACCTTGTGCCCTTAGTTTGACTACAATGAGGGGAATTTGTGAGGGGGGTAAGGGCGGAGTCAGAACAGTCTTGGAAGTGAGTTTTATCTCAAAACACCTGACCTGTTAATAGATTTTTTAATAACATCTACCATTTATCATTGGTTGCAGCAAAGCAAGACTGCTCCTTGGGGTTCAAAGGAAGGGGTGCAGGTGTGCTTCTGAGTCTTGTGATATTTCCCATTTACTTCCTTCTATAAAGTGTTCAGTTGATAAGGACTCTAATGAAAGGTGGGGGCAGCTGATGTGGGAGCCAGAGGACAGGCCAGGGGCAGTGAGTAAGAAGAGACTCTGGCAAAAGTAGAGACCTTGTGGCCTTTAATGGCACCCTTGACATTGTTGGCCAAGGGACTGTAGCTGCTGTGGGAAAGTTCTATGGGGTGGAGAGGGTGAGCAAAGAGGGAACATGATGTGTTCTAGGAGACTTGGGTGCAGGTGACAGAGGCCATGCACTGCAAGAACATAAGCAATGCAAACCAGGCCTCTGCCCCACAGTGGATGGCACCAACCAAGCCAGAGCATGGGGAACCTAATTTTTTTTTTTTTTTTTTGGTCCATGGGGAACCTATTATTTTTTAGGACATGTGTTATTGTCCTATAAATTTTGCCTAGGGCCCAGTGACTGAAAGTCAGGGGTAATAGGCAAATCTGGCTGGGGGGTGGGGAGAAGGGGCAGTAGATGATCCCACATAGACCAGAGATGCTCCAGGGCCTCTGTCAGATGGGCCTGGGTAAGACTGTCTCTAACAGGCAGCGAGAGAGAGCAGGTGCTCACCCTGGTATAGGGGAGGACACCTGGCTCCTTGGAGGAACAGAGGCCAACTCCTAGAACCCAGGCCTGAGCATTGTCACTTGAGCTGTGGTTTGGGATGTGCCAAGGTGCAGCCACAGTGCTGTTTTCCTAGGGCACGTATTCCTGAGCCACATCTTCAGTCCTTTTTTTTATTATTTTATTTTTTTATTTTGAGACAGGTGCTTGCTAAGTTACTTAGGGCCTCGCTGAGTTGCTGAGGCTGAGCTTTGAACTCACGATCCTCCTGCCTCAGCCTCCTGAGCCGTTGGGATTACAGATGTGCACCACCACACCAACTCACTTTCTTAACTAGCAAGAATGGACTTCATTGCTTCCCATCAAGAACACTGCCCAGCACAACAGGATTCTAGATCCCTCCCAGGTCCTGACATCCAGTTCCTGGTTCAAGCTGTTTCACATGAAACTACAAGCACTGGCTTGAGATCACTCAGCTGAATGGAAACAGGACACACTGAGGCAGAGCCGGGTGAGGCCAGCCTAGTCCCAGATATTTATTGCAAAGAAGGCACTTAGGACAGACGGCCTTACCTCACACAGCCAAGAATGGACATCGACTTCCACAAAAGTACATGCTTTCTCCTTTTATTAGCAAAGTTCTTTGGGGACACATAATTTCTAGTGCAGGGCTCAGTAGTCTGACCCTGCTGTCACAGTTTTAGGAACCTAGTGAGTGACACAGGCTCAAAAGACCTCCTCCGGGGCCTCCTCCTGCAGAAGCAGGAAGTGGTGGTCTTGGCCTGCAGCACCTTCTTCTGGGCTTCCAGGATGTAGAGGGTCTGTGTGGTGAGGCAGCTGATCACGGGGTCGGGGTCCTTCTGCATGTGCCTCAGGGCTGCAACACAGATACAGCTATGAGTCTTTGACCAGAGATAGGCCACCAGGCTAGGCAAGAGGGACGGGCCCTGCTATGGGAAAGGAATAGGGTAGTGGAATGGGACTGGCATCTTCTAAGGTAGGACAGAGAGTCCACACTGCTCAGTTATAAGCAAGATCACAAACATGCCCAGAGCTTGGAGATGCTGGGCCAGCACTCACCCCCAATCCTTGTGGTCCACTCTACCTTCCCCTCCCTGTCTCTGCCCTCCACCAATAGAATAACGCTGGCCTCCCAGAGAGCTGCAGCCAGGGACTTGGCCACACTTGGGAACCACTATGTCAGGGACACAGTGCAGAAAGGGGCGGTCACATCTCAGAAAGATGGTGGAGGAGCATGGACGACAACACCAACGGTTCTGGAGGCTCCCAAGGAAAGGAGCTGGGCACACTTGGGGGCTGAGTCCCCCAAGGAGGAAGTTGGCCATCTCTCTTAGAAAGAGTTCAAGGAACCATCCTGACTGATGAATGGGGCCTGAGCAAGATGGCAATGGGGGTGAGTGAGAGTGGGGTCTGCAGGGCCTTGACCAACACCCCCAAACCTAAATGCCCCAGAGCCAAGCATCTTCTTCACTCGGCCTGGATGATCATTTTTGGAGAGCCATTCCTCGTTCCTGAGCCTTCCCCACCAACACGGCACCTCCAACAGATGGACGCAGTGGGCGGCTGGCCAACTCACCTGTATTTGCATCCTCAACTTCATCCATCTCTTCCAGGTTGAGGGTTTGGATGATCTGGCCTGCAGGGGCACACAGAGGCACCTCAGTGGTGTCCTGGCCACCAGTGCTTCCCCTGCCCCTCCTCAAACACTCACCACTGCCCCCTTGGTCTGCCTTTCTCTCCTGTGGCCACCAGCCTCAGGTCTGAACATTTCCCATAAAGTCAAAATTTCTGTCCCTGATTTTCTAAAGGGTTCTGACCAAACTGGGCCAGGTAGAGAGGCAAGCACCCCTCTGCTCCAACTCTGGCCTCTCAGGACTTGCCCATTCAGCTACAGGAAGGTCAGCCAACCCAACCAGGGGCTTCCTGCAGGGGAGGAGAGCAGGTGAAGGTGGTCGGTGTCATCACCAGAGTCCTGGAATAACTATGGGTCTTGTAACTATGTCCTGGGTCCTCCTTCAGTCTGCTTGATGGACCATACACCAAGGACATAGTGGCTCCAAGAAAACAGAAGGCCGTACCTGCAAACCACACAGCTGCCTGGCGGATGAAGACCTGTGGGCTCTTGAAGAGAGTCACACATTGGTTCAGAAACCAGATGGCTTTGCTCGCCTCCAGTTGCAGCTGTAAGGAGAGGTGTTCCATTACAGAGAGGCCATTGCCGGTTCTTCTGCCTCCTTGGACAGTCTTGAGACTAACCTGAGTTATCCCCTGAGTGCCAGAATCTATGAAGACATTCTACACCTCCACTCCCTACCCCAGCTCCTCAAACTTATTTCCTCTGTGAAGCCTTTCTGGATGAACCAAGCCACACGGGTCACTTTCCCTGACCTTGACCCAATAGGAGCCTAAAATTCATATAGATTTACCCCAATCTTTGGCTCACCCAC